GAATGAGCCAAAATTTAAATTAATCCATTTTTTATCAGCATATTTCCTAGGCACCCTGGTTGCTACCCATTCCCATGGACGGCATTAGCTAAGTTAGCCTGTTACTTGACTTCACGTGTTTTAAATTATGTTGTTGGTTGTAAAATTCCACATGATTTTTTGAACTAAATAATGACAGAAAAATGGCCCTTCCAGTTACCTTTTGGGGTGGGAGCTGGGGAAGAAGACACACAGTGTGATTTATTCTAAATGCGGTTCTGAGATGTTCTGAAACTGATATTAAAAGCCAAACTAATCAGCTCAGCTCATCTGCCAAAGATTACTTGGACAGGCTGGATGGAATAAAACTTGAAGAATGAGACCAGAAAACTGAAGGTTCTAGTTGAAACTTTTAAGAGTATCTCCTGAGTTTAAGTTCTGTTTCTGGATTAACATGGAAAGCCTAAGAAAAAGTGATTAATTGACTTCATAAATATTCCTGAAATACAGTATAATATAATGCTTGACATTTGCATAGCATTTAATGCTTTTTCAAAGCATTTTTATTTATATTACTTTATCTGACCCCCCTGACAGTCCTTGAAGGTAGACAGGATCGATTGCCAGTACAGAAGATGAAATGAAGCACAAGGTTAAAAAGTTTCATCGGTGAGAACTGATTAATGGAGAGTGAAAACCTGAATTCAGGCCTCCATCCAGTTTTCTATCACATAGCACTGGTCCTCAGCTGGAATTTCAAATTACCATAATTTACATATTTATGGAAAATCTCATACTTCATAAAGTCTTCTATACTTCCTCATGTCCCTAAATTTAATATAGCACCTTGCACGTAACAGAGACAGAAGAGATTTGCAATAAGAAGAAAGAAACCCAACAAAGGCATACCTGTCTCCATCCCCAAGGGAAATACCTAAAGCTAAATGAGGATGAAATTTTGGTCTGGTTTTGATTTTGGTGGTGGTAGTAATACTCATGCTGGGGACTGAACTCAGAACTTTCACAATGAACTACGTCTTCAGCCCTATTTAAATGTTTTACTTTGAAAGAGGGCCTTGTTAAGTTGTTAAACTGCCCAGGCTAGGCTCAAACTTTTGATCCTCCTGCTGAGATTACAGCATGTGCTACCACACCTGGATAATGATGATAGATTTTTAACTGAGCTTCCTGAGTATCTGGACACTAACAGAAGAACAGCATACAGCACATGTCTGTACCATTGCTCGGGCTTCCGTTTTGAACTGTTCAGGGGTTTGCTGGTCCCAAAATCTGAAGTTTTCTATAACACAGAGGAAAAGGCAACGTCACTTTCAGTAGAGAGAAAATAATCTGGGTGATGAGTCAACCACTGAGAGTCCAATTTGGTCAGTTTGGATCACAGGAGAAGAATCGGTGTTCTTTAAATCCCTTTACATCTTGCCATAATGAACTCATAAAGTCCTTCAAATGTTAGTTTTTTAAAAGGCTAGCTGTTGTTTTCTACACATGGCAATGGCAAGTAATAGCTTCTTTTGTGTAATTTCACTTTTTATACAGAAGTCAAGCTCAAATCTACCAAACTCCAGCTAATTCAGAAGGTGTACCTTTGCCTGTATCTCAGTCCTTCCATCTGCAGAAATAAAAATAAAAACATCCAATTCTGAGGACTGCTAAAGAGAGTTATGTACATGATACTTGTAATTTGAGAAGTTACATATACAATCATAAAAATTGGGGAAACTTGTATTGCTTTGGAGGCAAGGCAAGATTTATCTTCTAGACCAGCGCTGATTCAGTAGCCACAAGCCACACGACTGAATCTTAGTTTAAATTATGATGAAATGAAACTTACAATTCAATTCTTCAGTTCTTCTGACTACACTTCAAGCGCACAACAGCCGTGTGGACCTAATGCTTACTGCACTAGACAGCAAAAACTTTTCCATCAAGAGGGCGCTGTTTAGAACCAGCAGGGAGAAGACCAGGCTGGCTGAGTATTTCTTCTTCTAAGCCTCCCATCCTCCTAATTCTGGGCCTTTGATCATATCTGCCTCCTGTGTTCTAGAACAAAGTCAGAAATTGGTTTTCAGTTTATTCTACTTAGTAACAAAGAAGTTTTCATAACTAAATGCTATCATTTCTTTAAGCAGAAAACTCAGGTCTAAATTTAGGCGCTCAAAATCACTCATCCATGCTGACTTAGCAAAAGAACTCATAAAACCTGTGACAAATCCATTCAAAACTTTCTTTTATTTGACTGTGATTTGCTTTTTAAAATGAAACAAAGTTCAACATCCCCCTCAAAAAAAAAAAAAATAAAAGTAAAATTCATTCAGACTGATTATCTTTTTGGTTTCTTATTCCCAGAGCTGTGAACATTTGTCCACCCCTCCCAACCCCACATTACCAGCTTTCCTTCTTATCTTTACACATTAAACTCTCAAAGAGCTGCTCTTTGGCCTGCTGCCCTCAAAGATGATTCACCTTGTGTAATCCCACTAGACAAACATTCTACAACTCAGCTCTGACAGTGCTGCCTCCATAGTCAGGGGTTCCCCTCTACACACCACAGAAAATCTACATTCCTTCATCTGCCCTTTAAGACTCTGCACAAGCAAGGCCCCGTCACCTCTCCAGCCAGTCTACTCCTTCCGGGCCTGACCTCTGCACAGCCAGGCTGGTGTAGCCCAGCGAACTACATGTGCATTGCTGCCTGTGAGCTCTCCCTCAACTCTGCATCTCTCAGGCCTGACTCACTGCCTCTACCCCGCCTCGTCCACCGCCTCTGCTGGCCTCTCGTCCACCTGGCGGGAAGGGCCCCCTCTCCCAAGCTGTGCCTTTTTGCTCACGAGTCAACCGGACCCTGCTCTACCCACGTCTTCAACTGTTCCAGGACTGAAGTACACAGCACTGGCTCTGAGCAGCTATTGTCATCCTCAGCGCCCCTTCTGAGGGTGCAAGAGAACAGATTTGAAAAAGATGCGTCCATTTTGGTCCATTCGTACCTTTGTGAATCCTGAACGTGGCATCGGAAAGGAAATGCTGTTACTGTAAAACCTGTTTCTCCTTCTCTTCTCCTAGGTTCAGCTTCTGCACTGCATCAGGCAAACAGTCACTGGGGGCGACTCGGAGATTGTCGATGGGTTTAACGTGTGCCAAAAGCTCAAGGAAAAGAATCCCCGGGCTTTTCAGATTTTGACATCTACCTTTGTGGACTTTACAGACATCGGTGTGGATTACTGTGATTTTTCTGTGCAATCTAAACACAAAATTATAGAGTGAGTACTCTTATTGTATTGATCTCTCCTGGGACTAAAACAGTTATCAGAAAGTGCTCCATTAGCTAAAGTTTAAGCAGAAAGATTTCATGAGCTCTAAATTTTTTTTACCTTCAATCCACCATTAGTACAACAGAGAGAAAAAGAACTTATTACCATTTTTAAAATTCTTTAATAAATCACATGAAATCTGTTCTTGATCAGTGTGAGAGGGAACGTACCTATGATGTCACATGCACTTCATTTTTAAAATATAAGTTCCAGTTAGTCATAATCAATGCAGTTGCAGTGGTCAGAATCTTTTGGCTGGAAGTGAAAGAGCATAACTCAAAACAGGTAGATCCAGGAGTTAAGCATTATCATCTGGTCTCTTTTCTTCTTAGCTTTGCTGTCTTCTGTGTTGGCTTCATGTTTAAAAATGATCCTCAGCGTCTCCAAGTTTTTACTGGCCTTAGAGTTACTACCCACAGCATAGAGAGAACATTTACTTCCTCCTGGCTGTGACAAGGCTGGAGAAGTCCCTAAGTCAGCCCCCTTGGCCATGGCCAGGGGCTGGAGGACGCCAGTCTGCCACAGCAGGATGACACGGTCATTGCAGGAGCAGGCTCAGCTCATCCGAGCCCCAGGCCTGGGAAGGAAGTTGTGACCCCAAAAGACACTAAGCAGCTACGGTCATGCAGTGCTTATATCAACATTTTGTTCTCTTTCTTTTTAACATTTTATCATAATTTCTCCAGGTATCTACAAAAGCTACATATCATCCTTCCACTTGAGAATTAGCTTACAGTATGTTACTTAGCTATGCTGCATTGAATTGGACCTCCATTAGTACCGGGTTTTTCCAATTTGAGAATTTTATGTTCTTTTATGACAAATAGCCAAGTTGTATGAAAGTAAATTCATTGAGTAGATAATGAAATCCCTAGTTATACATCTGTCATATACACAGGGAGAGTTCATTTATTCATTCAACAAATGTGTATGGAGGCCAATTTTCTTAATACTTGGGATACATCAGTGGAAAAAGTACAGATTCCTGTCCCCTGCCCTTAGACAGCTTTCATTTTAATGAGGAAGGGGAGAGTTTTAATTTAAAACATTAAAACAAATGAGCACCTTATAATGAATATTTAAAACTTGTTATATGCTTAAGAAAATGAAAAAGAAAATCAGACAAGATAACAGAATCCAGGGCTGGGAGTGGAACTCACTGGTAGAATGCTTGCCCAGCATGTTATAAGCCCTGGCCTACATCCCCAGTACTACCAAAAATAAATAAGCAGAAATAAAAAGGATAAAGGGAATCCACAGGGCTGGAGACTTGGTAGGGATGGAACTTGCATCATTAGATAAGGCAATGGGAGTACGATTTGAGCAAAGACTCAGGAAAGCAGGTCCAGACACCACGAGGGCAAAGGTCCTAAGAAGGCTCTGGAGGGTGTCTGGGAGATCTGAGGGACAGCAGGAGGCCAGCGTGGCCGGACCCAGGTTGGGAACAGGCTCAAGGAGAGGCACTCAGGTTGGGACCAGAACATGCAGAAGATCGTGAGCAACTATGAACACAGGGCTCTGGATTCCGCGTGACAGGAAGTGGTGCAAAGTTTGACCAAGGAAGAGACATCTCCATAAATTTAGTTCTTCTTTAACACAGCATAAAAGAGCCGGGGCAGGAGTAGAGCAGAGTAAGAAGCTACAGGGGACTTCAGCTAGAGACCGCGGCACCTGGGACCGGCGAGGTCCTGGTGACAGCACCAGCACATGGGGAAGGATCCATTTTTAATACACTGTGCAAACTGAAACAGATTGCTTTCCTGACATGCTGGGGGAGGGGTGTAATAGAGTGATAAGTGTCAGGAATAAGTCCTTGATCAAGACAAACCTGAGGTTTTCTCTGAGAAGGCATTCACTGAGGTGAGAAAGCAGAAATGATACAGGATTTTTAGCTCCAAGACATAGTCCTAATACTCAAACATGACCTTTAGAAGTGATGGTTTCTAGGAGATGATTTCAACCTGACTTGTATATTACATTGTGCCTACAGTGTATACATGCATCAAACCGTAACATTACCCCGTTAGCATGTGTGATCTGCATTCGTTCTTGTAGCAGTGAAAATAGCTTACATTTTAAAAATGCATGGCCAGTTCGGATTCTGCCAGGACACATCAAGACTGCAGATTCTTCAAGACCACTGAGCAAGAAGAAACAACTATTGAGGGAGACTAAAATCACCATCTGAATCCCGACTTGGCTTTAATGTTTTTTCTAGTAAAATTCCAAGACATGGCCATTTATAAGGTCTCAGGAACATCCCTAGAGAATGCCAAGTCATTAATATTAATCCCACTTCAAAAACACTTTTTTTACAACAAGAGATAAAACAAAGAAAGGTTTCAGTTCAGGGAGAGCCTCTGTCCCCTCAGTGTTCTTGAATGTCTGTTGAAATGTCTGTGTCCTGCCTGTACTAAAGCATCTTCCAGGTGCTAAAGGAATTAATTATGACACAGTGCAACGAAAAAAACAAACCACTGCGGAAACTGGGGAAAAATGATAATAGTGAGAAGAAGTAATCCTATTGTCGTAAGTTCAATCACAGGACTGTGAGCTCCTTACTTGTCCCTGGGTCGGCTCTGATCTTACGGGCTGCCCATGCTGGCTTAGGTTCTTTTTCAAAAACACAAATAAACAAACAAAAAACCAGCTAACACCTACCCTCAGAACTAGGATTTACGGAGTTAATAAAAGGCTGGCTTACAAAATACTGAGTATATTTTAGCTTGCTGTAATTTCCATAAATCCCAACAATTTATCTGTGATAGATTTCTAGTTCATTCCTCAGTTTCTAGGGACCAAATCAAGAAAAGAAATTTTTATTTTTTTAATTTATTTTAAGAGTAAAAGAAGGAAAACATATTAACAAACAGACATCCATTTACAAAATAGCATAAGAACAATACACACAATACAGAGTTACAGACAAAGTGATAGGAAATTAACAGTGGTTGTTGTATTACGTATTGATATCTTCAAAGTGGTTTCTCAGGAAAACAAATAGAGACATGCAAGACTGATCAAATAAGTAATCATTAACTGTTCCTTTCTGTAGAGCAATAGAAGTCAGTAGTACAACTATGTTAACTATCCTGTATATATACATACATAATTTCCCCTTCTTTAAGAAAAGAGATTTTTAATCACTTGTGAGATTCAAGACTCTTCTGAAGTCCAGAATAAGTTTTTCCTAAAGATCCTCATAAAAATGTGTCACAGTAGACAACACCCTCGTGGCACTCCTACAACACATGCGAGAAGTCCCACCAAGCGCCACGTCTGTCCCTGAAGCACGATGTTGTCACTAAGGCAGAGTCCCAGCCTCACCTCTGTCCTTGCAGTCCTTGCTGTCCACCGGCAGCTGCACCCTCCTGTGCCATGGCATTCTCCAGGCGGCCTGTGGCCTATGTGTGGCAGAACCTAATCCAGGCACATGTCACAAGCCCTGCACACATGACACTGTTTTGGGTCTGACCCCCAGCTCTGGGTGCCACACAGCTGTCAGCCCCTGTTACCACCTCCCAGCGTGGCCTGGGGACCAGGACTCCAGGGACCGGTGCCAGGCACCTCACTGCCATTCTTGACCACCTACCTTCATTGTCATCCCACCCTGTGTTTCCAACTCAGGAAAATCGAAGCTGCTTGGTAGTGCAGCCTGGCTGAAAGTCTACCTTCCCAAAAGCTGAAAAGCATCTCTTGTTTTTGTCTCTGAATCTGGGAGAAGTCCATGTCTTGCGAATTATAACAGCGTAGTCCAAATCCAGGGAAAGATGCTACCTTTTCTTACCCTGAAACCTCTAATATCTTTCATTGTTGTGATTATAATCTGTTTTCCAAGAAAGAGTTAGAAATTACAGTAGTCTCTCCCCCCAGGACTGGAAAGCCCTTGGTAGTCTCCCAAGGCACTGAAAAATATACAAAGCACACAAGAAACAAATATTTACCACCTGTTTTGGCCAGACTGTAGTGCTGGGACTACAACACTGAATAAGGTACAACAGCACCAGTCTTCCAGAAGTCTGCGTACAAGGGGTGATCAAAATATACAGTGAATATTTGCTTAATTTTTAAAAAAATTATTACGGTAAAAGAATATTGCCGTAACCCTTCTCAAAACACTCCCCACGTCTTCAGATACACTTATCTCATTGTTTGTGAGCCTCTCTGAAGCAGTTCTAGAAGTCCTCTTTCATGTCTTTATGAGGTATGATCGAAAAATATGATGAATGTGGTGCCAAGTTCCAGCCACAGAAAGTCAGGCTCCTCTTTGAGGTCAAGAGGACTGTGAAGGGTCAACTTCCCCATCAGTTCAGGACAAGTTTCTGGGATGGCACACTGCAGACACTCAGGAAAGAGCACTGCCAGAACTGCTTCAGAAAGTGACAGGAATGATGGGATAGATGTGTTTGAAGGGGAGTACTTTGCAGGGAATTAATGATAATATGTCTTTTATAGTAATAAAGATTTTCAATTTAAAGTTTCCCTGCATTTTTGATCATGTCTTCTACAAAGTACAGGTGAATGGAAAGCCTGTATCTCACTCAAGCTAGTCTCTTGTCTGACCTTCACTTTCCCACGTGCAAACTAAGCAATGAATTAGAGCCATACATTTCAGCAGGGCATGGTGGTACATGCCTCTAACCCCAGAACTTGGAAGCTAAGGTAAGAGGACCTCTGTGAGTTTAAGGTCAGCCTGGGCTACACAGCAAAACCCTGTCTTAAAAAAAAAAAAAAGGAAAATATATATATATATATTTCAAACACTTAAGAAATAAATCTTTCTTCCTATCCCATACCCAAAATGAAACAATGCCTAAAACATCATAAAGCAACTGACCTATAAACCTCTTACACAAAAGAATCTGAATGGGTAAAACCTGCGTTAAAGAATGAATTTCACTAGGTGTAACTGAAATGTTAACTTGAATCTCTCAGTAACATTTATGGTAATTTCAGCGGAATCCTCCTGGCTCTGGTATAGTAAGACTTAAAATAAAAATGAGTAAGTGGGAAGGAATAAAGTGTACATTTGTACCATGGTAACCCTGAGATCTTAAGGCCTTCTGTATGGGTTTGGCTTCTCTACCATTGCATTTCAAAATATCTCCCCAAAGGAGCCGATCTTTATGATATAACGAGGCCTTGGTGAATCATACACTGACTCTCTCTCTCTTCAATAGGTTAGATGACAAAGGCCAAGTGATTCGCATCAACTTCAATAACACAACGAGGGACACGATCTTTGACACCCCCGTGGAGAGAGTCCAGCCTTTCTACGCTGCTCTGAGGGAGTTTGTCGACCTCATGAACAGCAAAGAATTCAAGTTCACCTTCAAGATGAACCCAGGTCAGTACACAGCTTTTCCAAGAGAGGGAAAAGATGGGTTTTCTCCAGCCTGGCCCCTTTGGAACGAGGTGCGGAGCACCTTGACAGCAGAGCTTGGTGATCAGCTCTCTTTGCTTAAGCAGCAGGCTCCTAGCCCTGCCCCAGCCCTGCTGAGTCCTCAGATGCAGAAATATTCCTTTCTGAAAACCCAGGGAACCCTAAGCGCTCCAAACTTTAAGTATTTCCAACCCAAATAATAAATACTTGCACAACAAGCTGTAGGCCAAATAAATCTCAGGTCTGATGGTAACACCGACATCTTCTTGTATTTTCTATCCTGATAGCCCATCAATACAAGCTGAGGCTTGTACTTAGTTATGCCATCCCAATAAACAAAATTATGCTCACCATGCTCATGCTGAAAGAGGTGAGGAGTCTTTATTCGTGGAATGTACTGAATTCTTTAGACCACCTTTCAAAAGTGAAATGCCACCAAAGCTGAATCGTTTTTCTTCTCTATTTATGCTTAATTGACAAATTGTATATATTTATCATGTTCAACATGCTGTTTTGAAATGTGTATATACTGAAGGATGGCTAAAATGAGCTACTATATAGTAGCACCTCACATACTTGTCTTTGTGACGGTGGCAACATATAAAATCTACTTTCTTAGCAGTTTTGAAAAAAGTGGGTGTGGCAGTTCATACCTATAATTCTAGCACTCTGGGAGACTGAGAAGGGAAGATCACAACTTAAAGCCTTGCCTGGGCAAATCAGTGACTTACTGAGACACTGTTTCAAAACTTTAAAAAAATATATCTAACAGGATTTAAAAATGTAGCTCAGTTTGACGGCCCTGAGATCAGTTGCCAGCACTGGAAAACAAAAGTAAACAAATGAAAAAAGAATACAGCACATCATTATTAACTATAGTCACCACGATGCACACTGTATTTCTTAAACTTCAAGATTTTGTTATCTGTAATACAAGGCAGTATCTCTTTCTGCTGCTAATTTGACCAAATGGATGATTCTTCTTAGTTGTAATTGCTTTTATTTCTTTTCCTTTTTCTACTTTCCTTTCTTTCTCTCTTTCTTTCTTTTTTAACAAACAGTGTCTTTTCATATTGCCCAGCTGGTCTGGAACTCTTGGACTCAAGCAACCCTCCTGTCTCAGCCTTCCAAGTGCTTGGGACTACAGGTGTGCACCCTGTGCCCAGCTAAAATTGTTTTGTTTGGGGTTTTGGGGGAATTTTTTTATCTTAGACAGAGTTTTGCTATACAGTTCAGATTGGCCTTGAACTCACTGGATAGCTCAGGCTGGCCTCAAACTCACGCAGCTCTCTTCCCTCAGCCTCCCAAGTGTGCACCACCACGCCCAGCTAAACTTGTTCTTAATTGACCATCTCCATAATAAGTTTGTACTAGAAATACCCATAAATCCATTGCCGGGTAGACACAGTAGACTGAGCGTAAGAGTGTCAACCTGTGAGATGGGCACAAGGTAGGAAAAAAACAAAAAACTAGTCCAAAGAACAAAAACAAAATATAGGAGCTGGAATCCCAGTTCCATCCTTCGGTGGCAGAGGAGCTTTGGGAAAATTCATCAGCTTGTTGGAGCCTCCTCTTCCTCACATATGAAAAGATGAGCTAATACTCTCTCTGTCCGTTATGAGTCTTAAAAATAATACACACAAAATGCAAGACAAGTAAGAATGTCACTGTCCCTAGCGGCATTTGAAGCTATTAAACTGGAGAGAAACATTCCCGGTGGGAAGGCAGGTCACCATCCGTATGAACAACAGCAAGGTTTCGCTCAGAGAAAACCTCCTGGGCAGCCTCCCCGGTGTCAGGGGAAGCCTCGCAGGCCCCCCAGCTCGAGGTCACAGGCCCGAGCGGGTTGCATGCAGCCGGCAGCTGCGACCCAGGAAGCGTGCAGCTGTACAGACAGAAAGAAGTGCAGCTTCTGACGCCCGCGGGGTAGCAGCGGCACTCCGCATGCTGCGTTTTCCAGCTCTGTACTGAAACGCGATCTTTCATCTAGGCGACGTGATCACCTTTGACAACTGGCGCGTGCTGCACGGCCGGCGCAGCTACGCGGCGGGCACGGAGATCACCCGCCACCTGGAAGGCGCCTATGCCGACTGGGACGTGGTCCTGTCCCGGCTGCGCATCCTGAGGCAGAGCCTCAAGGGCCAGGGCTGAAGCTCCGCCCCGTCTCGGAGAGGCCGGTGTGGACACTCACCGTCGTGGCCGGCGTCCTTCCGCGCTCCCGTCTTTACCCCGCGGCACTCACTCGCCCCGCAAGAGTAACTTCTCCCTCCTAGCCTCGCTCAGTGTCACTTTCTGCAGCAGGCCTGGCCTGTCTTCTCCAAGAAAGCACGTTTCCTTCCCGTCCCGTGTGTGCACTCATTTCTTTTGCCCATGTGATGTCTCTGCACGGGTACAGATAGCGTTTGTGTGAAATTAAACATGTCTCCAAAGACAGCTTTGTTACAAGTAAATCTACTGCTGCACATAAAGCTTGTCTCCGTTTTCCCACAACCACTGCGGAGATTTTTCAAAAAATTAAAAATCGAAATTGCATTTGACCCCGCTATTCCCCTGTGAGGTATCCTCCCAGAAGAGTTAAAGGCACCCTGTGGCGGGGGTCCATGCACACCCGTGTGCACAGCACCACAGCACGTAACAGCTCTGTCACAGATGCGGATAAAGCAAATGTGGTACTTGTATGCAATGGAGCCCTGCCTTGCCAGGAGGAAGGCTCACCCTAGTCACGTGTGGGAAAATGGGTGCACTTTGAGACCATAATGTTAAGTGAAACACATCAGACCCACAAGCTTAAATACCACATGGTTTTTCTTATATGAGAAAGCCAGAGTAGAAGTAACGTACAGAATAAGCGATAGATGATAGGAAGTCAGGAGGTAGACCTTTCTCAAAGGGGAAGGGATCGGGAGATGGAGGGAAGGGAGGGGAAGGCGTGGAGGGGGTGTGGGGAAAAAAGGATCGAAGAAGAAATGAAAGTAGAGCTTTTGCAAACTGGAAGAGGACCAAGAGTTGAAAGGAGCAGGGGAAGCAGGAGGAGCAAGGAAGCAAAAAGAATTAAGACGCACCATTTTCATGTACCAAGTCGCCACGATAAATGTAATCGTGTTCTACACATGTGGACTAATAAGCAAGTTTTAAAAACTTGTGGCCAAACATGTTTCTGCTTTGCAGCCCCTGGGGTCTCCTTCCTCGTGTCCCCATAGAACAGTCTGCAGCCTGCATGAGAAAGAGCTTCGTGTTTCTAAAGCTCTTTGTAATTGGATTATATTACCCGAATTTATCACTTTTATTGCTTGATTATATTACCCAAATTTCCAGTCCTCACCAACTCCATGACCTCAACCCCTTCTTTTGTAATAGATGATGATACAAACCCAACCATGCTAAGAGAAAATTCTAGCTTCCCCAAACTTCTTTTGCCCACAATAACTGCTGCCACAGTCAACACGTTGCTTCCCCTCATCAGCAGAGCTGTTCTGGTTCCTTGCCTTCAGCTAATGGGCCCTGGGCTCGGGAACGGACCAAACGCCTGCTGCCTTCTGGACAGCCTCGCCTGTAAGCTTGGTTTCCCTCATGGCACTGCCTCACCCAACACAGGACAGCAGTGTCACTTGTCCTAAAGCCACTCAAGTCTCCTTACTCCAGGGCCCAGGCTCTGCTCTGCCCCTGACTGAGGGGAAATCCAGGCAACAGCATGGGCCCGAGTTCTGGTGCACATAGAGCTTCTAGTCCACAGGACCGGGGTCCAGCCAGGCCTCCTGTTCTGAGTCTGACTGTAGCAGAAAAGCCCCACACACAAGCCAGTACACTCCAGTTTCTGTTAGTTGCCAAGGTGCTACTTCCAGTCACAGTTCCTGTTGCTTCTGTTTCCTAGAAACGGCTGGTCACTGTGATGCATATTGTAAGAGCCAATCAAAGATAGCAAGTGCTCTGCTTCTGTACTTCCCGCTGGCAAACTCCATATAAGCCCTAGACCACAGAGATCAGCACCTGGCATTTTTTTCTTGAAGTCAGTGCCCATTGATGTACATAAATCTGTCTCCAAATCCTGGGTGATGTTTCAGTGTTTCTGTTTGCCATAGCACAATCACTGACCCCACTGCAGGGACAGGTCTGCTGCCAAAAGGCCACATGGAAGCATTAATTCCATGCACATTTTACTTTGCTTCACTGTAACCCACACAAAGGACATCCACAGCAGTGGGACTGTAGGGCAAGAGATGCTGGACCTTCTGAAGTCTGGCATGGTGGCCGCCTCACCCACCCAGACTCCCTCCCTGGTAAAAGTCCCCCTTTGGAAGCTTCCTGTCATTTCTCATCACCTGGTCTCCACTGGGACTCCTGTAGTGTGTAGCATGTTTGATTCCCTTGAACTTGAGAAGCAATGGGCTGGACTCTTATTCTGCCTGAAAATGTTGCTAGAATGGTAACACCTGAGTTCACTGGGGGGTGTGGCCTTATTCTAAGCTCGATTCATCTCTCCCCAGCATCTACATTTGGGGACTTTCCAGGTGACACTGCAGTTTTACTCACTTGGCAAGTATTTCTCACACACCTAATGCATCGAGCACTCTGCTAGACTGGGGGCCCAGGCAGACTGGAACTCGGCCTCTTTAGTCCAGCAGGGAGAGAGATCAGCATGGAGAGCTTGATGTCCCCTCTTAGTAGTGTGGTTCATGGGAAGGCAAGCAATCCAGACCGATGAGGTGAACAAATCCATAGTCTACACTGAATTAGTGAAGTGGATAGTAATTCCTAAGCAAAGATGGAGAAATAACATTAAAAGCAGAAAAGGCACAGATAATGGAAAATAAACACAGGGCATAGGTTGGCTTGTAAGGAAAGTAGGCCAGGCCACTGGTGTAAGTTTGGGTCTGGTTTGAATCATCACGTTGATGCTCAGTTAACCATGCGTCTTTGAACCGTAAGTCTCCTGCCTTAACTTCATTTTTCTTATGTCTAAAAATGAGACAAATAACAGTTCTTATTTCACTACATTTTAAAATGAAAGTTTAGGCAAAGCAGTGTTTTCCCAAATTTCTCAGACAATTAGTCACATCCATGGTCCTTTTTTAAAGAGAAAGTGTACAGTTTCCCAGATTAGTCCCTGAAGATTATGATTCAATAGGTCTGGGATGAGGACCAGGACTTGTATTTTTAGCAAGGATCCCAGGTGATACGCATCATTAGAAAAGTTTGGAGAATGCTAACATACAATACCAGCATAGCTACAGCTCAGGGTAGGAACTCAGGAGATGTTAACTATTAATACTTAGAGCAACAGAGGTAGGAAAGGGGAGGGCCAGGTAGCCTGAGAAGGGATATACGGTACTGGAGGAGAGACAGGGCCAAGTCCCAAAATGTCTCATGCACGCTGCACTGCAGAGCTGGTGTTTCATCTTGGAAAGCAAAAGAGAAGCCATGCAGAAGTTTGTAAGCAGTAAAGCGCTGAGATCAGATATTCACTTTCAACAGATCCAGCTGGCTTCTCTGTGGAGGGAGCTATAAATGAATAAAACTGAAAGCCAAAGATCTGCTGATAAGTTTACTGCAGGAAGTCACATGAGAAATTAGGAAGGACTGACACAGAACGCCGATAACGGGCGGGAAAGAGCCCAAAAGGCTGAACATAGAAGGCTTGGCCTCTGCATGTACAAAAAGAGGGAGCCTCTGGGATCTCCTCCAGGGTCCTTGCTAGGAGAAACAGGCTGTACAGAGGGAAGGCTCCACCATGGCAGAATGGAGAAAATTGGGTCAGTGTTGGACAAACCACCTGGTCTGCCCCAGTGCTGGCCACTGAGTTCACATGTGCCTGGAACTTGGAACAACTGGAGATCTACAAAGCTCAGAGACGGTTCTAGAAAACACTTCTGGCTTTCCTGGAGGTATATAGTGAAGTGACCAAGTCACAACCCTAATGGGCTGATGATAAGGTAATTCGATGGTAGAATCCATTATACACAGGACGTAGGCTTTATCCACATCCCAGTAACCTTTTCGCACCTTGTATTCCATCTCTGGAGACAGCCCTCCAAGCAGCCTCTCTGCTGCCTTGCTGCTTCCTTCTCTGTGGCCGATATAATTTCTGTCCTGGGAAGGAGAAACAAAAGGATTGGATGCAACTGCAACAATCTCTGAAGTGTTATAATCAACATGACACATTATGGGCTTCAGCAGGTAGTGTTGACTGAAGAAGATTAGGTATCCTGGCCAGAACTGTGCAAAGAACTCCTTTCCCCTCTAATGTCCTTGATGTAACTTGGATTAGAATTTCCCCGTACTGGCAGTGTCACACACCACCTTGCAATTCTCTGATTTGACTTGGAGAACGTGAGCCGCCTGGCTAGGTAATCGGAACAACTCCGTGGGTCACTGGGATGTATGTCCCACAGCACCCATGCTGATCTCTCTTTCTCCTTCCAGCCAGCCCTATAAGGTGAGCAAATGAATCCTGGTAGACAAAAGTTAAGCAAAGAAGAAATTCTATAGAAAAATTAAATGACTTGGAGGGAATTTCTCTTCAGTTTAAATAATGAAACAGAGTACTCCTTTAGTTAAATATCGTTTTGGGACAGATCTGTGCAGTCTTCATGCGATGAACATGTGATGGGCGTGGACTCTGGCTTGGTGCATATTTTTGTGACTCTGTAGAGGCTTCTCCAGCTATCTATGGGGAAATTCCTTTCTCCTTCAAAATTCTGCTCAAAATTGGCCAACAAGATGGGGGCATAGGGTGTCTCCAGCTTTTACCCCCCATGCAGCAATAACTTGGCAGCTACCATCAAAGGTGTGTTTGCAGTTTTGGGAACCAGGTAGGTGGTTATAAAAGCCCAGGGGAGCACAAACCATGAGGGGCTCTTTCGACAAGGCAGAGTATACACAGGCTACAGGCTCACCACTGTAGCTCCAGCCGTGGACCCAGAAACCAACCTGTTCCTCTGTGGACTTAGATGCAGCCCTGTATGACTTTAGTTCTGTATCAGTATGACCTGCCATGGTACCCTAAATAAGTCATCCCCCTCCTGGGCCTAGGTAACAGGAAAGAAAGCTTGGTCCAGCTGAGAACCTTGTGGCAGCTTGTGACCTAGCTCCCATCCTTCCCAGTCACGATCCCCTGCACTGTGACACACAAGAGTGCCTGTCCCTGGCCCAGGAGGCAGAACTAACCACCATAGCCACACAGGAGATCCCAGGACAGCACTGCAACCCAGCACAGCCCCTCTCAGCTGCAGCCTGGGAGCAGTGCTGCCCACCCAGGAGCCCACCATGAATCACGCCTATTCAGTCGCTGGAAGCAGACTAGCAACCTCGGTCAGATTGCAGATCTTGAAGCAGCCCTAAAAAACAGTACTCAGGAGCCCAACAGAAGGCACATCTACCTACAAATCTATAGACCAGTCTCAGCTGTAGACCCTGAAGCTGCTCTGTGACTCTGTTCTAAGTCCTATCTGCCCAAAAACTCACCTAAAGA